CTCCGGCCGTGAGGCTCACCCGCACAATAACCTCCCGTCCTCCGTAACGCCAAACTCTTCCTCTCCCAGGCAAGAGGAAGAGAGAGGATGGGAGGAAGGAGGGATCTGGTGGCACCACAGGACAGGTGTTCCCAGACGCGTTGGGATCGTGGCGCAGAGTGTGCTCGCTTGGTGGCAACGTGCTTCACACCTTTTGAAGCCTGTGCTGCTTCCCGTGACCCAGGCCAGGACCCTGCAGCAGGACCAGGGCTGAGCACGCAGCACCTCCAGATGTGCCCTTAGAGAGTCACCACTGCTCATCCCGGGCAATGGCACCGCTCCCCCAAGGCCAGAGTCATGGCAGTGGTGGCTTTGAGTCACCACCCTGGAGCCGTGGGCTGTCCCTCCGCAAGAGCATCCTGTCCACTCACTTTCTGCACTGGTAAAATTGGCTCTGGGGGGGTTTGTCAGGGCTGAGTCCTTGCACTGGGCCAACCACACCCATGACGTCCTGGACAGAGCACTCCATCCTTGCGCCCTTGTGTGGGGACGGGGAGGGACACCAGGCTGCCTTCTGTACCCCGAATAGCTGAGGGGAAGCTGGTGTCTGCCTAAGCACCAGAACACGTGCTCCCTCCTGCAGAAGGGTTTCCACAAGCAGGCACTGGTGGGTGCAGCACCTCTGCCCACCTCCTGTGGGCAGCGCGGGGGGCTGGCTGCGGGAGGGCTGAGGCCAGGCAGCTGGGGTGGGACGTGCGGCCACCGCATCCGGTGTGGGTTTTGGTTATTCTGGGCCCACTGAGTAATGGCAGCCCTTCCGCTTCCCTTGCCACTTCCCTAAGTCAGCAGGAGCCACCACAGCCCTGCCCCAGCGCCCACACAGCCTGGGCAGAGGCTCAGTGCTCTCGCGTGGGAGGGCAACTGGAGCCCCCTGACATGGGCGTGGGTGTGTGCACAAGAGGAAGAGGAAAAAGGGCCCACTTTGGGCTCTCTTGCTCAATCCCTTCCTTCCCCTCGCTCGTGGATGGGCCCTTCCCAGGTGAGAGCTTCAGCCGTATGGAGGGAGAGCTGCAGCAGAAGGAAGGACCTGGCCATGAAGAAACCCTTCCCGTTGAATCCCGTCCCCGCTCATGCAAGGGCAGCATTAACATTCCTGGAAAGGGAAACGCCTGTTGCAGGTCCAGCCACAGATGCTCTGGGAGCAGCCCCTGGACACAGTCTCCATCCCAGGCTGGGAGCAACAGGTGGAGGTGGATGCAGGGAGACAGCAAGCCGAGCGCAGACACCCAAGCTTTTGGAAGGATGCAGGGAAGTGTTCAAGGCCAGGGAGGGAGCCTGGGGCTGTAGCCAGGTGGCACCCGCAGTGTGGCACAGAGGTGGGAGCAGAGCACAGCCGATGTTCAGCCTCCTGCTCATGCCAGGCTTGGGGTTTTCTTTCCCCACAGTCACCACTAGTTTTCAAGCACTCCCAAGTCTTGCCTCCAGCACGGCTTCACCCCCAGGCAGCAGAGCATTTTGCCAGGGGTAAGGGACCTACGTGACCCTTTGACTCGGGTGCTTCATTGAGAACAAGCCCCCGTAGCAGCCTCACGTTAAACTGGAGAGCATGACCCACTTGAGGCACGGCAAAACAAGGCCATTGCACCCAGAACGAAGCCGCTTGTTGGGCCAGGGCCAGGTACGGCTGCTGCAGCAGCAGCATTTTTGTGTAGCACAGCTCAGCCCATGCCTGGGCTGTGGGGCAGAGCTTGCCTCGGCAGGCTGGGCCCAGAGGCTGGTGTCGGACACCCCCCCTGGACAGGCATTACTGTGCTTGCCATTCCCTGTGACCATGCCCTGCGTGTCCCCGGGCTCTACCTCTACCCTCGTCTTGAGCTTGCAACACCCAAGCGCCCGCAGAGGCATCACCCTTTCAGCCTGGGGTAGAGGGCAAACCCCCAACATCCAGGAAAGGAAGGTGGTGGGCGAAGGGTGTTGCCCACCCTCATCCCTTCCCACATCAGCTGAGGCTGACAAAGCCCGGGCCCGTCGTGGGCAGGAAGGATGTGCAAGACCAGTGGCTTTACGGGGTCCGGCTCAGAGATGAACTTTGCAGAGGAAACAGGAGCATCGTCACCAACCACAAGAACCAGGATCAGCCCCAAACCACTAAGTCTGTGGGGCAGAGCCCAGAGCTGGAACAAGTGTGTGGGGCATGGCAGGGCAGCTGGACAGCCTGGCGAGAGCGAGGGGAGCCGGTAATCAAGAAGATGCAGCTGAGGGGGAGTGTGAGCGCAGGGATAAGGAGAACATCTGCTCCCAGGACAAATGCTACAGCTCAGGAGAAACACGGCAGGAGCTCCCACAAGCAGCCCCTGCT